ACATTGTTTTATTTAATTGGTTAATTCAATTTTGGATCGATTTTTTCTTTTGGCTTATACATTTTTTTTAGGGTTCTCAGGGTGTGCGTTATCATGACCTTAACTTTTGAATCGTGACAAATTTTGTTGTTAGAAGCCAAAAATATTTATTTTGTAAAAACAAAAAAGAGCACCTTCTTGAAATACAAGGCATTTGACAAATCAATAAAACTGCTTTTAAATGGAAGCAAAAAACAAATATTCTATTGTTGGAATCTGCTTGTTAGACAATTTTTTTGAAATAACTTAATCTTGAATTCTGTTGTGTTACGTGAGAAATAAAGTTAAAAAAAAATTCAAAACCAAATATAAGAATATCAAAAAGGTGAATTGACTTGAAATTTTATAGTAAAAGAGTAAGACTCCAATTTCTACCTATCACTTATCAACCTTTGATCAATGTACATAAATGTAGAACAAATGTGGAATAAATAAACTATGACTTTATTTTATTTTGTCAAACAATATGCTAACAACTCCACATGATACGACTACTTTAAAGTTGTACAAAAAGCCAACTTATCAGCTAATTATGAAATGATCATAATATTTTTACTTCATCTTTCTAGTAAAAAAGGTATTGAAATACCTTAAAGCGCTCTATCGATAATCACGTATCTCTATTTCATTTAATAAGTTGTGATCACAAAGTTTCATGTATATAATATTCTAAAAAAAATTCATTAGTCAACAAATTATAGTAGCTATTTATTTTTTAATATAAATCTTTCATATGATACGAACAATCTCTTCCGTTCTAACAGAAATCAGTCTAAACTATGTACATATCAAGAATGTCACAAAATTATATTTTACAACATTGAACTATACGTTAATATCTCAGAAAATACAATTCCTTAGAATAGTAAAAAAAATTGCGTCATCAAAAAATAAGTCGACATTTTAATGTCAACAAACTTAAACAACTTACCACTAATTAAAACCAACAAATTGAGTGATCATATAAACTTGCTCTATGAGTGGAACTTACTTGTATTTTATGTATTATTATCATAACAATAAATTGATATTGACCCAACAAAACACATATATAACCATAAAGTAATCTACAATTAAAAAATTTGCAAATTTTTACAACTTAACAAACCTATATAAAGGTTATTTCTTCCAACAATTAATAGACTCCATATATACCAACCATCATACATGTTTAGAGATAGATGTCACGCTAACTCTTTGTTGTCTACTTTATTTTGGGATGGACAGCCGATACATATATTAGGGTCTGATTTGATTCAGATTCGAGATTTTTAATTAAGAATGAACAAGTTTTCACGATTTTATTATAATCCTGATTGATTCTTGTCTTCACGTCTAATAAAATTTAAATTCGCGAGATCTTTAATTACGAATGAGGGAATATTTATGACTTTATTTTGACCTTGGTCGGTTCTTGTCCTCATATCCATGCAGCCTAGCTCAAATTTAAGATTCTCTAATTAAGAATGAAGTAATATTTATGACCTCATCGTAACCTTTATTAGTTCTTGTTTTTTTATCCAGCAAAGCTCGAAGTCAAGATCTCTAATTAATTAAGAATGAATGACTATTTACGACTTCATCGTAACCCTACTTGATTCTTGTTTTCATATCCAACGGAGCTCAAATTCGACATCTCTAATTATAAATGGAATATTTACGACTTCATTGTAACCATGTTTAGTTCTTGTCCATATACAACATGGTTCATCAAATTCGAAATCTCTAATTAATAACGAAGGAATATCTACATTGGTTGGTTCTTCTCCTCATATCCAACGGAGCTCAAGTTTAAAATCTCTAATTAAAAATAAAGAAATATTTAACTCTTCATCATAACCTTAATTGGTTCTTGTCTTCGTATCAGATCTCAAATCCGATATTTCTAATTAAAAATAAACAAATTTATAACCATGGTTGATTCTTTTCCTCATATCTCGTTATCTTCTTTCTATAAAAACATAAAAAAGTGAGTTGTTGCCTCAAGCTTGCAATACTAAAGTAATTAAACTCTTTGTGCCCTTATAGCATGCCACATTGACACAATATTAACTATAGTCGTTCGAAGTTTGTGTATTTACTCAATTATATATTTTATATCTATAAGAAGTAGTCTCTTGTTATTCTTATTACGTCACTTTCGTTAATATTCACATAGTCAAAGAGTTAATACAATTTAAGTTAATTATGCTGCATGTGATCAATCTCATTCTAAATAACCTGAATAATCAACCTTATAATTAGACTAAACAATCGTTAATCAATAAAAATCTCAAATTCAAGCCATAAGAACAAAAAAAATTTCTTTAAGGTTTACACTCTATCAGTTCAAATTAGTCTGATCTCCGATGCATGCAAACAAAAGATCATGCACGTAGAAATGTGTGACTTAACACATGCAATTGTAAGAACTAAATTAGTTATTTATTCAATATTTTAAAATAAAATTTTTAAATATACAGAAAGTACTATAAATTATATATTTTTTTCATATCAATATAATGAAAAAATACATCTTAAAATACCAATCAAATTCATATTGTTTATCTATTAAAAAGAAAACTATAAGAACTAAAAAGTAACGTGAACCAGTAATATTTAACTTTTGTTGAGTTACCTAAATTAAGGTTAAGGCCAAACTTAATGAAAGCAAGATAAGTGTACTATATATAGGTGGGACATGTGATCACCTTTTTTCTACCAAAATAAGAAGTATGATGAATATATATAATATTATATAGTATATATACATGAGCATGTTAATTGATTTTAATTAAACCAATAAAGAGAGAGTGAAAGGAAAAATTATAAGCACAAAACAGTTTGTGCTTTTTTTAATTATACTTTCATTCTCTCTTATTGAACATAATTATGACAACTATGAAAACAGTTATTTTAATGGTGCTAAGTCAAATTGCATCTGGAAGTGTTAATATTTTCTACAAAGTTGCTGTTGCTGATGGAATGAAAGTACAAATTATGGTCTTTTACAGATTGTTTTTTGCTACTGCTTTCATGGTTCCTCTTGCTTTCATTATTGAAAGGTTAATTTTATAATATTTTTTGGAATTTGTTAATTGTGACATTTGAAACCTTGTGCTCTCTTGTTCGAGCGTTTGTTCGTCGTTTAGATTCGTGAGTGAAATTTCTGTCTTTAAGGTTATTTGCACCAGAATAGTATCAAGACGTTTGTGTCTCGGCCCTTGATCAGATAAATTTGTTTGATACTTAGTGCATATGATGATTATATATAATGTCAGAATTCACATTAATGATCCTATTTATAAGTAGGAATTTATTATTAGTTTAATGAATATTAGCTTGTTAATGTATATGTATATATATATTTTGCATGCAGAAAAAGAAGACCAAGATTAACTTGGACAATACTGTTACAAGGTGTAATTAATGGATTATTGGGGTGAGAATTACAGCTAAAATAATGAAATAATTTTCAATTATGTTACTATATAATTAAAAAAAGTTCAAATATAAACAAATATTTATTTTACAGGGCAGCACTTGGAAGCAACTTATATGCAGAGAGTTTAATTTTCACAACAGCAACATTTTCATCAGCTATGTCTAACCTCACTCCTGCAGTTACATTAATTTTGGCTGTACTTATAGGGTAAGCAATCTACTTTTAATTCTAAGATTGTGAGGTCGAGTTTCTGTTACGTCAAGTATGATCAAACAATTATTTGTGGACATGAATATTGACAGGATGGAAAAATTGGATATATATAGAGTAGCAGGACAAGCAAAGTTGTTTGGAACTTTATTAGGCATTGGAGGAGCATTGATACTGAATCTTTATAAAGGAATGAAGATCCCATTACCATCTATGAATATACATTTGCTTCATAATACTAATGACACAGCAACAACAGCACAACATGCAGCTTATAATGATATTTGGGGATCAATACTTGCATTTTTGAGTTGTGCTTCTTATGCATCTTGGTTGATCTTTCAGGTAGGGGTGTGTGTGTGTGACGGAGAAGTTATTTCTCCGAAATTTGGTTGATACAATGTACTATATTCTTGAACAACAGGGGAGGATGAGGCAGAGGTACCCAATGTACTCAAACACTGCCTTAATGTGTTTTTGTGGGGCTATCCAAGCAGGGATATATGCTTTTATTAGAGAAAGGGATTTATCTGCCTGGAAACTTGGATGTAATATCAGACTTTTCACTCCTGCTTATTCTGTACGTCTCTAGATTCAATCTCCAGTGGCTAATGGATACAAAATCCGAGCATCAACTCTTAACGCTATTCTTGATTCTTATATAAGCATTGTTTCAGGGGATTGTTTCTTCTGGATTAGGAGTGACAGTAGTAGCATGGTGCACAAAACAAAAAGGACCTCTCTATGTCTCATCGTTCTATCCGTTAGCACTTATCTTTGTAGCCATAGTTGGTACGATTGTCCTTCCCGAGGACTTGTACCTTGGAAGGTTAGAATCTACCTGATGACTGTTCATTTCAATTAAATTTCGATCAAGAACTAACAATGTCTTCTAATGATGACAGCTTAATAGGATCAGTATTCATCGTTATTGGCTTATACGTTATGTTATGGGGGACGGCCAAAGAGAATACAGTAGCTGCAGCTGAAGCATTGAAACATAACGACAATGGAGTCATTGAGATCATCTCATATGCTGGAATAAATCAAGCTACTGCTGCAGTAGTCCCAGAATTCAAAACTGATGATATAATTATTCCAACATCGACTGCAGCTCATCAAGAACCATAACCAGAAGAAACCAACTCATATATCGATAAATGTTCAACAGTTAATTATTATAGTTCCACTTTTACTGATTTAATTCAAATAGAACTCAAGAATTTGTAAATCAGTGAATAAAGAACAAGACAAGTTGTGGAAATTAAGCATATTAACCTGTATTGCAAGAAGCTAATGATAAGAGTATGTTTAAACATGCCAATAATGAACAAGATGAAATATATAATGTGTAATAGAACTCAAAACAACGACGAGTATATGACAATAAACAAATAAAAGATTAAATCTTTGATCATCACAACTTTGTCAATCAACAAAAAAAAATCATTTCCACGCGTTTTTCACCATGCAATCTTCAAGCAATTTACTAAGGAAGCATAGTTTCGTTCTTCAAAAGCTTTCCCATTATGGTTCAAATTATCACTACCAAGACTAGCTCGACTTCTTTTCTTCTACTACAGTTACCTTTGGAGCATCTTCGGCTTTCGTCTCCACGTGAGTTGGAGCAACTGGTGCCTCTTCTATTTTCTTCTCTGCAGGAGTCTCTACTGCCGGTTTTGCTTCCTCTACTTTCTTCTCAGCAGGAGTCTTAGGTTCTGATTTCACTTCATCTATCTTCTTCTCCTCGGAAGGCTCCACCTTGGGAGCCTCAGCAGTAATTGAGGCCACTTCTAGTGCTTTTTCTATCTCTGAAGTTACAGGAGCATCAACAACCTTCTCAACTTCTTCTGGCTTAGCTTCTGATGGTGTGATCTTGGATGCCTCCTCGTTTACTTGCTCTGACCCCTTACATTCTTCGTTCTGAAACAAATAGATGGAACATATCATATATAAGCTAGTCAAACACTAACAAGTAATATCAATTCAATGCATCCCTTGTTGTTCTTTGTAGCAAAACTACCGTACTTAAAAGGTACCTATTGTGAACTAAAAACATGACTACTTCATTCTTTCCATGTTGCGGCAACTAGCTTAACACTCATTCTGGCCATAGATTTTGAAGTTGAAACTTTAAACTTTAGAAATTAGAGTGCTTTGTGGTTTTAGGAACTTGAAGTTATGTTTGGACATGTATTTTACTAGGACAAAATACTTAAAGTTTTGTGAGAGAAAGTCCCAGAAACTGGTTTGAGCAAGCGAAAATATTAAAAGATCAAATTTTGAGTAAAATTTCATCGCTTTTGAAGATAAATGTTCAAAATCTAAGTCAAACGCATGTATGTAGAGGGAAAAGGAAATATTTTCTTTGTTTTCTATCAAGATGAATATTTCCCACTTTTATTTTCTTTCCACTTCAAAAGTTTTGAAACAAACAGGAGCAGGAGAATCTATAGTAACTTTTCTCTTTCTTTTTGTCTTGAAGTATATTAATTGATTCTGACTCGATATAAAATCTAAACAAGTAAAAAAAACTTTTAAATATTATAATTTTAAACATGTTACGTAGAAATTTGAAACTAAAGAATCGCGGAAAAGAAAAAAAAAGTTAACATAGTACTTACTACATGAAAATCAATGAAACAAAAAGGCAGACAAGACTATGATAAGAAGAGTATATAAAACAAAGGAGAAGAAAACAAATTAGTGGTCCATTCATTACCAAGAAAGCAAGACCATGTTTGGTTGTCAACAACTCAAAATCCAAATAAACATCATTACCTAGATTCTTTTAGACCACAAATATAACAATTAATCTGTACTTCCACTACATTATCTCTGTTCCAGCTAGGCAAATCAAACAATAAACAAATTTAACATCAACAAATCTTATTTTCATTTTTTATTCAGCGTTTGATATCTATATAAACATTCAATCAAATTTAAAATCTTATGACAAAATAGTTAACACTCTCCCACCACAAAAAGAAGTGATGTTTTGATTTGAGTATTAAGGGCATCTTTAAAGAAAGATAAATGAATACCAACAAAAATACTAATTTAAACAATAAAGCGATGGACCATATATTATTATGATGACAGTACAACTTCATGTCCCAAAAATAATTACATGTTGGTATAATTTAATAACATTCATTAGGTCTAGAAGTGACGTTTATGACTTTACTTAATTACATATACCTTCCACAATAACATAGTCCATTATTATCAACAATCACTAATAAAAAATCATTAATCTGACTTTTCTTGCTTTCTCATAGTCAATAAAATGAATTATCAACAATCAAATAACATTATCAGTACTAGTACACGTAAAAAAAGATAAAACTTAGAAGCAAAAATACATTTTTTATAGAAAAAAATATGTCAATCTAAACTATCATTAGATTCTTATTTTAGTAAAATATATATATTTTTATATTATTTATTTCCCTAAATAAATATTAGGAAGCGAATGAACCATATTATACAAAGAAATTTATATGATTTAATTGAGAATAGTTCGTTGATTAAGTATTTGAACTAAATTCAATTTTTTTTTATTCCTCGTGACTTTTAATATTCTCTATTTTGTAATCCTCTTCGGTTTGTTTTTGTAAGAATATACAACAGATTCAAAGCGAAATAAAATTATTTATTGTTTAAAAAAAATTATTAGATTCGAAAAAAATCAACAGAATAAATAGGGAGTACAACAGCGAACAGACAAAAATAAATATAAAATTTAAAAAAAATTGAAAAAAATAAAATTTACCTCTTTGAACAAGTTAGATAGAGATCGGCGTTTTTCAGCATCGTCGTCATCTGCAGCAGCAGCATCGGCCTCAATTTCCTTTTTCACTTCTACTTCCGCCACAACCACCACATCCTTGGCGGCGACGGCTACTTCCGCCGCATCCTTGGTGGCGATTTCAGTCGCCGGAACATTTTCCGGTGCGGTTTCCGGTGCATCTCCTTTCAAATCCTTTGGCTTCGTTGCACAAGCTCCCATTTTTTTTGTTGATTTTCTCTTTTTTTTAGGTTTGAAGGGTTTTTGATTTTTGGAGAGTGGAGGAATGAAGGGGAAGAGAGAGATTTTATATAGATGGCGGGAAGGAAAGTGGGATTTTATTTTATTTATTTTGATTACCATTTTATTTTAAAAAGGAAACAAATATAATACCCTACTATTTTCTCAGTCACTTTAATTCGTTTCTTTAGAGTCAAACTATATAAGGTAGTTTGTTAACTATATAAATATAAAAAATTATAATTTGTAAAAAATAGACAAGTATAAAAAAAAAATTTGACCCAAATTATCACTTTAAAAACACTCATCTACTTGACTAACTAAACTTAGATAGACTCTCTCCTAAAAAAAAATGTAATAGGACATAGTAAATGAGCTCAAGCTCTTATAAGACCATGAAGATTTTAGTAAAGATCGAAAGAAATATTGATAACATTCGTAAAATTGACAAAAATTTAAGACGTTGATATAAATGTTATATTTTATAAATGATAAAAATTTCATATATGAAGGTTAAAAGGTTATTTAAAAAAAAAGTAAACCTCTCTTTTGAATATTTTTTTAATTCCTTTTATTTTGTTTCCTCATTATATTGTCATCATAAAATTTCTAAAAATGTATTTTTGAGTTGATAGATACCAAAAAATAAAATATGGGGCTTTTAATGCCAAATTTTAGGCAAGTTATAATGGTAATATTTCTAATTTTTCCTAGCATTAATTTTTATTTGCTTTCTATCTTTTGTGATGCATTTTTGTTTAAAATACTTTTTTATTATATATTTTACTACTCCTTAATTATTAATTTTCCTAAATACTTCATACCATATATTTCTCTCATATCATATAATTTAGAATTTCATAAATTGTAAACTATATTTTCTCTTATCTTATATTTTAGGATTCCTTAAATAATAAATTGGAGAAAATAATAACTAACAATTTTGTACAAATTGTATATTTTTCAAATCATGGTGGTCAAATAGCAAGAGTTAAAAAGCAAATATAAAACAAAATAAAATCTAAGCAATGAACTTTATGTAAATGTACCAAGAAGCATACTGTCCTAAGCCAATAGTCGAACATAATTATTTAAATTTTATTAATTCTTGAAAAATATAAGCCAAAATATTATAATATTTCTCATATAATTATTTTATGTTGATATATATAAATATGAAACTAAAAAGGAAAAATAATAAAGAGACCAATTATTGCCATCGAATATCTCCCGGAAATTGCGGAGATTCGTGTTTTGGCAGTCAGTATTAAGGACCAATTTTCTTCCAAATAATAAAAAATATTTAATTCCTTAATTACATCTAAATTAATATTATTTTCTTTTTTTCCCCTTTATTATTTATTACATTACACAAATACTAATCTTATTACATTGATTTATGAAATTGTAGGGATATCTAAGGTTCTTTCTTATCTGTATTCTTTTTAATTAAGTTTATTATATAAAACTTATTCGATGCAATATATGTGTCATTTGCGAGCTATATTTATCGTTTTTAAAAAAATCAAAATTCTTCATATACTATCATCACTTCTTCTTTCAATCTTTTTGTTGATCGGTTGAATTTGCAATAAGATTTTATGGTTTTCCATAAAATCAAATGAGCAAAGATCATGTAATTATGTGCTAGCCACGTTTATATTTATTGAGATCACGTCTTTATAATATGCTCACTTTAGTTAAATCATTATGCATGATTAGGATTTTTTTAAAATATTTTTTTTGGTGATTGAAATGTTATGCACATATTAATTGGTTTCAAATAATAATGTGAGCCATGCAACTTTAATTTTCATCTACATTTCATGTGCCAACTCAACCAACACCTTCTTTTAAAACTCATATAGAGTTAATAATCTCCTACTTGTAAATTATAAAATCAAATTAAAAAGAAATCTTGTAGCAAAAAATTTGACTCAACTCGAAGGTTATCAGTTCAAGTTATTAATGAAGCAAGAAAGTGAAAGCTTCGAGGCATAAGAAAAAAGGAAAGAAATAATTTTCAATTTTTTTTATATAAGCTTAATCGAGTTATAAGCCATTGGTTATTAATGTGGACCTAACGATAATTAAAATACGTATGCATCAATAGAAAAATATTGAAAAAGTTGCAATGATTTTATAAAAGTGCATTAAGTGGTACATTAAAAAAATAATTAGAATCGTAGCGTAGAAATTGTCTATCTAATGCCAGCCAAAAGTTTTAAAACATCAATTTATATCAAGGTCCATCATAGAGTTTTTTTTTTAATCTAGCCAGCTGCTCATATAGTATTTAAAACTTTATTTTATACACCCTTGGTTATACATTAGTTGTCAAGGTTACTATAAATATTTGCTTTAATTTACCAATTGTCAGTATAAAATCAAAATGAAATTAATTACTCTTTCATTTTTTTTAACTTGTTATGTTTCGCTTCTCAACAATGAAAATTTACCAACAGGCTGAAAATTTACGTAGCCAATTAGGGATGCTGCCAACTTGAGGTTAGGAGGTTCATCCGATTCTCTTCAACAAAAAATTACGCTATTTATATATAGTTAAAATTATTTTTATGTGTATATAATAGATTTTGCACCCTCTTCGACTAGTTTATATGTTACTTCTTTATATTTTGTATTTTTTTCATAAAAATCTTGATTCCGCCACTAAAACCAACCAGTTGAACTACTAAGATTTTGTACCAAAATATCTACTTCTCTCCGAAAAAGGTGTAGGACATAAAATATTTATTGAATAATAAGCCACTTCCTACTATTTTCAATAAAAATCATTTTCACCAAAAGGGAATATCCTTTCAAGTTATTTTATTTTAATTATTATATATATATATATATATATCACAACCCCAACCATAACCTGTATTAAACGTTATTATCAATATTTAATACTTGTACCTAATCATACCGTCGAAGCACTACTTGATTTTCTAACATTTATCAATTTTAATAATTATATTCTTTTTGAAAAAGATATATTCTAAATATCAATCGAGCACCATATAGATTCTTCTTCCAATTAAATTAAATATCATGTTATCTAGTTACTCCATCAATTATCGAATGCCTATTGAACGTAAGAAACATGAAATCGAGTTTAGATATAAATAAATTAGCAAAGGATTGGATGGATTAAGGGGCTAGTATATTTGAATTAATAGAATTAGTCAAAGAATACGAAAATTGGTATTTTTGTAGGTAAAATTTTTAGTATTGAAAAATACTAAGTCAATGTAATAGAAATTATTGTTATAATACTTACCATACACGACGTAAGAGTAACCCTAGATAATTAATTAGGCATTTAATTAGTCATACTTTCTAGAAGTAATTGGAAAATTAAGCTTCTACTTTGGAGATTACTACTAAGAAAGAATAATTCAAAATTATACAACTTAGTTATTCGTGAGTAAAAAATTGTTTTGCTTGTTGGCTATATTTTTTCTAATTTCGCGTATTGGAACTGAAAAGGTTATTTATTAATAATTTTCTACTTCTTCGCCTTTATCTTATTATAGGACATAATGGATCATGAATTGTTCACGTAGATTCGATCTAACCCGATCCAACCCCATTCGATAAAGCTTTTGAAATAAAGATGAATACAATTTTGAAAATAAAAGTGAAACATGATTTATGTATATTCGTTCAAATAATATATATTCTTAATATCTTTTTGTATATCTATGTATATATGCGTTACGCACATATGTAAATAAGCATATTTGTGTACTTTGGAACTTAAAATCAAGAAATACATACTTTCAAGTTGATTATGTTTGTTATTTCAATATATAAAACGTAATTAGTGTATGCAAAAATTCCTTAAGCTATTTATTGAGATATCAAGTAATGCGGGCATCTAAGCCCATGGAGAATGTCATAAAACCATCAAGATGGTTTCAAATATATACAATAAAAAAAAAAGAAGTAATTAGTTTACAATAAATATAGTTACGTTTTATTTACGTAGAAGTAGTCAAAAGTCATACATAGCTTTATGACTATATAAATAACTTATTTATACGTGAGTTATATAATGATTATATACAATAATACACTCAAAAAGCTGAATATAATTTCCCTATACATGAAGTACTACTGATTATTCAATTCTGACCAACTCAAAAGCACCTCACAATCCAAATTTTAGATACGAAATCATCTCAATATTTCAAGTCTTTTGATATATACACTCAAAACTATTTACACTTTTAGAGCATGTTTGGCTTAGCTTAAAAGCTGGTCAAACTGACTTAAAAACTGATTTTTGACTTATTTAGCTGTTTGACAATAGTCAAAATC